GACACCCAGAACGTACATGGAAATTGTTACAATGTATGCTTCGTAGGCCGCGCGTTTGGCACTTTAATAATGTGTCTGCTTTTCTCGCCACTCGTCATCGTTTGTCTTTTCTCATTTCGAAGGCAGTCGCCAACGAATACGGACTGTAGCGGCCATTGTATAGCCACTACACCCTTGCCAGAGTATGAATGGGAATGGAATGTAAGGATAGTTTTAAGCTTTCTATTTTTCCATTTTCCCAGGGTCTCGTGCGAGCCTGGTCGTCCTGTTAAACATTTGGCGACCAGAGCCGTGCGAGGCGTCTGTTTTCCTTCAAGGTTTCGCCTGGGCCTCGGATCACCCTGATCCGGGCCCGGTGAGCCTCTTGACTTTTATGACTCTTTTTCGCTAAACTTTTCTATACACTGAGTATTTTCCAGTTTCGTTTTTCCGTCTTTCTGTCCTGTCTCTTTTTCTCTACCTTTGCTATTAGGGTAAGAAATTGTATACTCATTTCGAAGGCAGTCGCCAACGAATACGGGCATTCAATAGCTCTAGAACTATACAATCTGAATTAATATTCAGTCACGGGACAATCGCGGTGCGCGTGTATTATTTAATTGAATAGTGGTGCTCGTCGAAAAGTATTTACTTGTGGACACTCGCGGTCGGGACAATCGTGGTGCGCGTACACGTGGACATTCGCGGACGGGACAATCGCGATGCGTGTATGCTCGCGTGTGGGTGATTTTTATACAGAAAAAAATGTGTGTGTTAAAAGAGGCATTCACCCTCTCTCTGTGAACATCTTGTCGGGCGAGTATTGATATGCCCCTCTGGATGTTCATAAGACAGGTTGAATGCTATTCGACGATATGCGTTTACCTTCCTGGGAGTTGACGCAAAAACGAGGGGCTGTCGGATTTCATTCAACGTACCACGTTCGCCGTCCTGAGAGTTGACGCAGACACGAAAAGCGATCGATAAGTCTGTAAGCTCGGTTCCTGTAATACATCGTCTCCTGACCTCCCACGCTTACGCATATGCTCGATGGTTGCCATGATTCAGGCGGAACTTAAAATGTTAATAACTTTGTAACGAAGCCTCCATCAACAAATTAGTATACTTGATTTTCGTCTTATTTTGGCCTCTACTATCGCTCATTAAAATTTTTGCTAGAGGTGGCCGAACACCCTGTATAGTGGCCTTTAGCGCAGATCGGACATTTAACTTTTGCTTGAGCGGTTACGTACGTTTGTTGCGTCGCTTTGGTTCTAATAATCCTGAATTGCGGGCTTCTGGTATTGTCTTACATTTGACTGGATATGTGCCGCTTCAGGCGAGTTTGCAAGGGTCGTAAGTGCGTCGTTGCGTGCAAATTTCGATAGAAAATGCAATAATTCCGCGAGGGTCGGCATGGCATCATCGTTGTTAAGGATTCTAAAGGAACCTTAACATCGCGAGGTTTATGATACGGACGTGACTTCTCCGCTATTTTTGAGGATTAGGCCTCCGAGACATTTTTTCTTGCTAAATTACGTTACGGTCATTAAGGAAACTCCAAACTCCACACGGGACATGGAATCCTTGGAGCTTCCTTGCCTCAGTAGCGATTGACGTATCGTAAACCCGCGTTGGCACACAGCTGCGGACCACCGGGGTCTCGCGGTCATTGGGCATTTCCCAAATTGTTTATAAAAAGGGCAACGTTCTCGCTCACTCCTGCATGGTGTACCTGGACACTGGACATCAGGGTGGGCGGGAATGTTGCAAAATGCAGGAAACGCCCTGCCAAGGTGACAACTTTGAGGATTGGCTTGACCAATCCTCCCACCGGTTCGCGCTGCGCGTTTTCGTCACCTTGGCAGGGGAAACCGAGCTTAGGTTAAGGGTAGCTTTAGGTCTTAGCATTAGATTCGTTTGATCGAGCCTTACAACCTCGAGTCGACTCTCCGCAAGTGTAGAAATATTCTTGTGTAACTAAAAAGAGCATCGGGCTCTTCCTTGAAGCAACGGGCTTCAAGGTTATCGGTATTTTTCCAAACACCAGTTTGGGTGGTCCTTCGAGCACAAGGAAAGGGAACACAGTACGGAGCTGTGTGATACGCACGGTCCGCGCAGTACAGAGCAAGAGGGCATAGTCCTTCGCGGCCGAAACAATCGTCTAAAGACCGATCCCAATGCCGACGCGTAATTTTGTCTAATTTCGCCGTTACTATACAGGGTGTTCGGCTACCTATAGTAAAAATTTTAATGAGCGATAGTAGAGGCCAAAATAAGACGAAAATCCAGAATACTAATTTGTTGATGGAGGCTTCGTTGCGAAGTTATTAACATTTAAAGTTCCGCCTATAGAATGACAACCCGCTAACAGCTGCGTTCGCGCGGACGGTTGCGGCAGGCCAGTGCTAGTGGTTCTCACGCAGCATGAAAAATTCTACTTACCGACATTATCGACAGCCTTAGATTTTTGCCCACTTATGGGAATGCGAACACCTTGCGTTGAATAATATTCAACCTGTCTTATGAAAATCCAGAAGGGCATATCAAAACTCGCCCGACGAGATTTTCACAGAGAAGGAATGAATGCCAGTTCCAATACATAACTTTGTTATTTTTACGAATTTTAATGAGTCTACGTTTATTTTAATTGCTAAATCAAGAAGACGAGTTGCGAGTCAAAGATCAGTTGCGGGGTTTTTAAAAAGGACGGATTTGCAGTTTTGTTCTCATTAATGTTTGCAGCGTGTTTGCGAGGGATGTGTCCGATATATACATATGTATATAATCAATTCATTTTCCTTCAATATGTTCTCCATTGCAAAAATTCTACAGTATTCTTACATTTTTTTATATTTTAAAATTTTCCCATGTTATTAGAAAGTAGATATACGACGAAAGTTATACAACTTATAGTTCCTAGCATGTATAACATGTATATGTATATAACGCATGGTCGCTTCGTATGGAAAGTCAATGAATCTTTAAAAAGAGCCCAGGTCCGATTTTGAAAAATGTAAGGTCTGTCAATCACGATGGCTTTTGTCGTTTACTGACGATTCGAACGAGTGGCGATGCCAGGCTTGCTTTCGAGAAATGTAAGCGACGTCAGCGATGCAAGAGCGAAAAGGAAAGCGAGTATCAGCCTGTTCCTCTCGGCTCTTCCGAAACTTTACGAGCTAGTACACAGTCTAATAACACTGATTTCGAGTCGCAAATACGTTTCTGCCGAGTTATTTTTTTAATAAATGATGTATTACAATTTAAAATAAAAAATAGAGGATTCGCGGTGTACGTATCCTTAGGTATTTTAATAATCTTGAAATTTTTAAATAATCTTAATCGATTGATTACTCCAATGAAATGAATCGATTAATGTCCAATGATGAACCGTACAGTTTTCATTCCGTTAAAAAATAATAAAATTTCTGTAATTTCATTTTCTGTCTCACTTCCTCTTGTGTTAATTTCTGAATCTGTTGGTAACGTTGCGAGTGACACGAAAATGGTAATGGGATCCCGGGACCCCAGAGAAACGGGCCGAAAAAATACATTAGGAGAAAGATCTACTCGTATACCTCGTCTGTGGCGAAAGTCCATAAGGTGAAAAGTCTACTCGTATACCTCGTCTGTGTTAAAACGTTCACATTTGTCTCGGCTTTTTTTTATTCTCATCTGAATTGCAGATAAATAGGTAGAGAAACAAAACGATTTCTTTTGTTTTAATAGTTTTAAAATGTATATATCCATTAAAAAAAAATTCCGAAATTTTTTTATTAGGGTACTTTGGGTTGGAATACGCGACATCTTCCGCCAAACAAGATTGCCACCGTGTGGCCAGTCAATGCCGATAAGGCAGAATAACGATGTTTTGTACATTCATATGTGTACATACTATACTACATATACATATATACAGGGTGTTCGGTCACCCCTAGGAAAAATTTTGAAAGGAGATTCTAGAGGCTAAAATAAGACGAAAGTCAAGAATATCAATTTCTTGGCTGAGGCTTCGTTAACAAGTTATTAAAAAATTAAATTAAAAAATTTCAAATCATTTTGAAAAAAATATTTTTGGTTGCGGGGGTAATTACAATCATTTTTTATGAATAGACATATCCCCGAAATCCTGCGCATTTTCGAGAAAAAAATTCAGTACGGGCAGAACCTTAAACGTTAATAAATTTTTAACGAAGCTTCCATCAACAAATTGATATTCTTGATTTTCGTCCTAATTTAACCTCTAGAATCTCCCATTCCCATTACAATTTTTCCCGGGAGTGGCCGAACACCCTGTATATGCTAACCTAACCTAACCACGCTCTGCTACCATAAGAATAGTATACACGTGTCTTTCTGTACAGTTACTCATGTTTATCCTTATATTTTCAAATAAATATTATTGTTAAAAGTATTATCGAGAAGAGTGGTTTTCTCTTATTTGAATAATAGTTCCGAGTCTGCCAAGGTTGTGGGATAGTTTTTAGATTATTGCAACAGGTTATTGCAACACTTTGTTTATAACTACATAGGTCAGTAAGTAAAAATGCTGGGTAGTTGATACTCGAAGTCGTATGCCAATAATTTGAGGTCGGATTTTAGCTCTATTGAAAGCAAGAAGGGAAGATTTACATTCTTTCTTGAATTGCCGGAACTTATATACAAGGTGGCTATGCATTAATGTATGTAAGTGGAAACGCAGTTTCCTTGGGGCACCGGTCTGCCGTTTGATAACACTGGATTGCCTTTTTCAATCCCTGCCTAATCAATTCACATGTATGTATACGCACACTACAGCTGTTTGCTCCCCAATACTAATTCAGTGAATAGTTTCTCAATTGACCGCTATCCATGATGAGAGGACGCTAAAATCACCTTCGAATTTTCAGGTTGGTATGACAGTCAGATTGGACCACGAAAGTCCATAGGGTGTGAAGTCTACTCGTATACCTCGTCTGTGATGTTTAATCTCTATTGTGTCACCAGATTGCGCTAGCGTAAATGGCAGATGTATTTTTCCATCTACGTATGCTATAGTATTACCAAACAAAATACGCAATAAGTAGATGTCCGCTATGAACAATGACGTTGCATTGTGTTAAAGTGCGTTAAATGTTACGTGTATACTAATATACCTATTTTACATGTGAAAACTAGGTTGGTGTTTATGTAACTGGACGTTATCAGATATCAGAAATCGAGGATGCTTTAAAAACACATTGGAAGGCGATCGAGTCGATCCGATCGTTTTATCACCTAACGATGGAAATTTCCTTGTATTCATTTTTTCATGATGTAATACGATCGTTCTCGTTTTATCTTATCCCCGACAGTCCAATGCTTATCCAGAATAAGCAGAAATTAATCAAAGCTGTCGCCGATAAACTTGAAGTACGGTTTTGTACCGTAATGAGGCATCACGCGAGCGTTATAAATAGGAAAAAAATATCTTACCGTCATTACCGTTCTCCTACTCTTTCCGTTTAAGCCGCGAACGTGCTCTACTGTTCTGTAGTGGTGAAGTGATTCGTAGTAATTGCACGACTGCGAACGAGGACAATAGTTAAAGTACAATGGGTCTGGAGGATTATAAAGAAGTTGTAGGAACATGCGCCTCGATTACAACCATGGGGCAAATGTTGGCCGGAACGTAAGTCGAGATAATTTCATAATATTCATTATTATTTATCTTTCAATTAGTTGAAGTGCTATATTTTCACCGATATCGAAGATTTTTAAATCCATTATAAATTACGACATTTTGAGTAACGGTAAAACTGCAGTTTAGCGACTGCCATAAACGTGTTTATTTTTCCTAATTTTTTGTTTTTGTTTTTTTAATAGATGTATTTCAATATTGAAAAGAAACATACACTATCCGAATAAAGTATTCATACACTACTTAATGCTCTACTTTGAACGGCGACAAAATGTACAGAATGTTAATTTAGCAATACAATGTAGAAAATTAACGCAGTTTTTATGATATAGTATTTTATTAAGGTTTAAACATTTTATTAAATACTTATAACGAGAATTTGTTTTCGTATCGTGGAGAACATTTATTTAAAAGACGTTACAGTCGGTTTGAGAGAATAGATCTGGCTTGTATGATATCGACGATAATCCTAATACATCGTCGTAATAAAATATAATAATGAAGTATTAGATTTTTGTTTTTCTTAATAAAAATTTCATCCAAACGAAGCTGTAAACAATTCTTCGTATTGCAGCTAACATATGTACATAACGGTTGACCGTAAAATATAAACTTAACTGATTTTAATGATTACGAGTTTCAGCTTACATTAGAATAAAAACCTAACCTAGACTTAACTCGAACCTAATCAGTTAAAATAGTTACTAAACAGGTGGCTAGTGGCAGGTGTTTATTTTATGTTACGTTAAGTAAGAATTTATAAGAAACGTATTTTAATAATAATTCAGTGTCCATTAATTTTAGAATGTATACATAATACAATACTTTTTTATGTAGAATTTGATGCTTTATTGAAGTTTAAGAAGAAATATTTGGTATTCTATTTAAAAAATTAAGGTGACCTTCATATCACGTTCATACTTATAAATTTATTTGAAAACCTCAAACCCATTCAAGGCTGGTTAAAATTTATAGAGAAAACACTTCAAATACTATTTTAAATAATAAATTCTTCACAATTTGAATAAAATAATATTTTAAAGAATATTTATAACAAATAAAATATTTCTTTTTCAAAAGCACGTATATGATCTGAAATAAAATATTTATTTATTAATGAAATTGTATTTTACCAAAATTCTTAAATACTCGTTGAGAGTATGAATATATTGCGACTGACTATAATTTCAATGTCATTGAAATCGGCGAGGCGGCCTATTTTTTAAATTATTACCGAATTCCTTATGTGATTTAATTATAGATTAATATGCAAGGACATTTATCAAAAAGGTTCGTCAAAAGGTGTCGATCCAATGCCTTTCTTGGGTGGTGTAGGAATGTGAGTATATACTACAATAATATTTATTACATAAAATAGCGATTAAATAAAATTTAGTAACATTTAAGAAATTTTATTAACCGTTTTGTCTTTGTGGAGTGTAGCTACTTATAAGTGATTTTAATTATTATTGTTTACACTAAAAGCATCCCTGGTACTTATTTTTTGTTCGTTACTATGAAAAAAAAACTTCTTTGACAATAATATATGTTATATGCAAGCTTAACAAAACATATTATACTTCATATTTCGTAAAACATTTTTTCCAAAATGTTTTGGAAAATTTCAGTCTTCTTTAGTACAGTATGAAATGAATTAATATAAAAAATAAATACATAATGCAGAGAGAAACAATAAATAATAAACAATGGAAAAAAAGGTTCACGAATATTAAGAAGAAAATAAAACATCGTGAAACATGTTTTTTTGTAAAGCAAATTATTTTCAAGTTACAATAAATAATACATAGACAATGTATGTATTTTTTATAGGTGTATTTTGATGCTACAATATGCATTTATTCTGAAGGATCCTACGATGATCAATGTTAACGTTTTTGGATTATTGACAAATGCAATGTACATGGCTGCATATTACTATTTCACGCCAAACACGGTACGAGTTTTTTTATTCATAATATAACATATCGTCCTTCCACGAGAAGGCACAGCGTGTCACATCCCCACTCTTGCTGCAGTCCGCTGATTGGCTGTCACCGATCTTCGTCACCGTTTTCAACCAATACCTGTGAGTCAGCGGACTGTAACAGAAGTGGGGATGTAAACACGCTGTGCCTTCTTCTCGTGGAAAAACGATACATGGTATTGGTCCGTGATGCGTTACTTTCTTCAAGTATTCCGCGGTTGCCTTTGTTTTTCATTTTTAATTTTTCCAATCGAATTAGTACGATGCGTTATAAATTATATAAATAAGAAAAAAGAAAACTACTTAACAGAATTAATCATTTGGATATTTCAATGAAAGTTAAAAAAAATAAGTTGTACTTAAAATGATTAACGATTATAAAAAATGACAAAACGAGTCGTTTTGATCCACTTGGATCTAGTATTAATTTTAACGCGATCAATAATACGTAAAATATTATTTTATTTTAAAATAATTTTGATTCGTTTCATTGTACATTCTGTTCATAAACATTTGAATGTTTTTCGACAGGATGGTTCTGTTTAACATTTATAAATGCAGCTGCATCTGGCGACGTACGCTAACAATAAGACGTACAGTGAAAACTCGATAAATGTCGCTACTCCGGGTCCGGTCAGCAACACTTACGGAATAGGAGAATCGTCTTTCGAATTTGATTATAGTTTGCCGACGTTTCGAACGTAGAAAGAGTCAGTAGCTAAAGAAGAAAGAGGGACTGAAACTCGGATTTATCGCCCTAGTTTAAATATCCGCGTCAGTGTGACCATACTACTGCACAGAAGAAAGTTTTTTATTTTTTACTTTTTGTTAATAAAAATTTCACTATCATGTTGGGGAGATTTCTCTGATTAAAATGAGGCTAAACACGATATAAATCGGTCAATATTTGGTGGCATAATATTGAATTAAATATTGTACTTGCGAGTCTTTCTCTCTTTATTTATCCTTCTTGTGCTGTCCTTTTCTATGTTCGGAAATATCAAAGAACGACGCATCGAGGTGCTGGCTACATTTATCGAACGGGAGGTAGCTATTTTCAAACGGAACGGTTCCACCGTTTCGTAAGTGATCAAAAACTGCAACACTTATGAAATAGGGGGTTTCGTTAGCTACCACTGTTCGATAAATGTACCAATCCGCTGACCTTGCGAAGATATGAGTACACAATATTTAATTCAATATTATGGTAACAAATATTGGCCGATTTATATCGTGTTTAGTCTCATTTTAATTAGAAAAATCTTCCCCACATGATAGTAAAATTTTTATTAAAAAAAAGTAAAAAATAAAAAACTTTCTTCTTGTACAGTAGTGTGGTCACACTGACAGGGACATTTAAACTAAGATGACGAAGGCAATAAAGATTTTTAAAGAAAGCCGCTACGTCTCCGGTTACACTTCGCCTCACTGGTTCAAGGGGGATCCCCCTAGTGGTGGGGATAAAAATGTATCATTTATGGAACAGCTCTTGAGGACATTTATCGAGTTTTCACTGTACTTACTTTCGTTATGCTTTGATTAAATATCGTAAGATACAAATGCTCCTGCACCGCGAAGAAATCTCGTGAATATTTGAAAATATTTCTAACAAGCCTCGCGTCCGTACGAATACTTTATCTAAAGTTTGATGCATTTTTAGAAGGATACGCTTGCTTTAATAGGCAAGGTAACAGCTTTCGTAGTGGTCTTCCTTGCGTATGCTCAAGTGGAAAATTCCGAGAAGATCGAATTTCGTTTCGGTTTAATTGTGACGGGGTTACTGCTTTCCTTAATAGCGTCCCCACTTGTGCATCTTGTAAGTATACATTCACTAATTTTACGCGTTTTTTTCTAGAGAAACTTGGCCTTTTACAGAACATTCTACAAACTAATAAAATTAACGAAGAAAGAAAATTGTTGAAACAATACGCCACAAATTCCATACAATTTTTTTTCTAAGAACCAACCAGTAATTTCATGATGGTTACATTGCTGAATCATTTTGCGTTGCAATAAAATACTTTAATATGTCGTAAGCTGTGGCAAATCATGCAAATAATAAACGCGACACCGAATAGAGATCTAAAATTGTTTTTTTTTTTATCGTAGAATGGTTATTTTCTGAACCACTGAGCCGCGAATGTTTGACAACAGAAATAGAGAATGTTCATTTAATGGAAATACGTTTTTGGATACTGTAAGAAATAGATAGTATACTGTATCCATGCGTATACTGAGCATGCGCGTGGGAGAGAGGACTGAAACAGTGTGGCCAGATCTGGCATAATTGAGTGCATCGAAATCGACAACAGTGACGACGAACTTCCTTAGCGTCTAATGGAGTGGTGGGGATAGCAGGCATATACTACCGCACGAGCCACGTGTACGTGAGCTCGGCGCTTGCGCACAACTTCGGGAAATTGATAAAGAACGTCAGTGTGAGCCTTTCCTTCTTGCTCTTGTAAAAGACAAAACAACTGAAATACGACCTCGCGATAAGTGGCATACGATTCCAAGCCTCGACTGTTCCAGCATTTTTACTTTCCGACCTATGTAAGGTATAAGGAAATTTATAAAGTATCATAATGGAAAAAAAATTTCGAAATTTTTTTTGAGCGGAAATACACGTTTTAGGACCCCCTCATCATATTGTGACTACTACAAAAAAACATATTTTTTTTTTTGTTCCTATGCTATTGACATGATTGCGTCTAAACGGCTGAATGAATTTCAATGAAACTTAACATTTAAGTTTTATGTTCTCGTTTTAAGGTCTCATTATATTTTAAGCGTGATCAGTTCCCATATAATGATGATTATACGTCTGTAGTTTTATAATTATTTCGATACATATACATCATTTGTGACAAATTTTTAAAGCGATTTATATAAATCTTAAGAAGGATTAAGATCAAATATACTTTTTTCCTATCTTTCCTAGACAGGAAAAATTAAACGAAGTCTTATGCCTTGCATACCTACCTAAACCACATAAAAAACGTATTCCACAAATATTTTAGAATAATGTTGTTCAAAGCAGTCTTACTCGTAAAGGGTTAATTAAGGGTTAATTAAAATGAAAAAACAACTCTTAGCCAGTACCGTGCACGCTACAGAAATAGATTACTACTGACTTTTCCCACTATGTTTTTAATAACCGTATCAAATTGTTACACACAATCAAATGTTATATATTTGACTTAACTTTACATAACAAAATAATTGTAACGATAGGTAAAACAATAACGTGCACGCTACCGTTCAATGGAAACCACGGGAAGGTGGTGGTCACTTCCATCAGGAGGGAAATGTAAAAAATTGTTATTTCTTTGTAACATTATCACATGCCGTATATTAAAATGTTTTTATTAATGTAATGAAATTACAATATAATGAAAAACTAACTCGTGAATGCATTAATTTTTATTAATATACACACGAGCCATAAAAATGGAAAAATGATATAATTGTTTACATTTCCAAAGGATGGGATGTTGGAATAGGACGTTTGCGATTAAGCTGGCACGTTATATCGTGCATTGTTGCTCTTACGGTACCGTGACGTAAGTGTAACAAGGCGCGACATTCTACGTCATAGCCACACTATCTACAGCAAGCAATTTCACTAACTAAAAATATACGGCAAAATATAAGCAAATAAATGAAGAAAAAAAATGATAGTTAGAGCAAGCAGAATAGTATTTACAGCAAGCGAAATACGTAAAAAAAGTAACAATGCGAGACAAATTGAACGACTATTTACATATTAGCGAAGTCCAAAAAAAAATATTTTGGACATCACTAACAAGACTGCGGTTGCAGTGTAAGCGCTTTCGCGTGACGTTATGGCACATACATACATGCATCACACCTTGTTGCGCCTACGTCGCGGTACCGTTGACGTAACAAGATCAGTCTACCGCGACGTCGCATGAAAACGTTTATACTGTCATTGCAGCCTAATAGTACGAATTTACTAAAGAGCTTTTCTCTGGAGAGAAAAATCTCTCTAGAGAAAAGCTCTGTAGTAAATCGGTACCTTAATTTTCGTCATATGACGTAGCGGGAAAATTCTCAAAGTTATTGTCATATGTTGCGTTTAATCTTAAATTACACTTTTGCTTCTTAGCAAATCTATGATATAAATTTTTGGAATACAATAGAGCTAGATGATCGTCATCTACCTCCATGGGTTGAGAGTTTTCCCTCTGCGCCTTTAACGAAGATTTCACAACGCAAATAGAGTTGACGCTGGCCGAAGAAAGTTTATTCCGTTTCTTTGTTTTTATGTCAGGTAACATGGAAAACAATCTTTCTGCATCGGCATTGGAATTTGGAAGTGATCTAATTGTATTTACTAATTTCATCAATTCAGGAAATTTAATTTTATAGTCCAAATTTCGCGTTAATAAAATTGTTTTCCAGAAACCATCGAATTTCATCTCGATAAGCGTCTGTCTACCTTTCGTTGTAAATTCCAAAGGCAATACTGACCATTCTGTTTGCAGTCCTTCTTCGTCGAAACCGCCGAATTTCTTAGCGATTAAGAGAACATTTCTGAAGGAAATGTCTCTATTTGTATCATTTAATATAAAAGTGGGTTCAAAAACATACAAGTTGCTAAGAAATTCGTCATCGATTGCCAATCGATGACGAATTTCATTTGCAGCTGTAATATAAAACATTAAACAATTTTTCCTTACGGTTTCTACGATGTCGGACTTGCCTTCTGCATTCAGTTGATGCAGAAAATTAAGACACTCTGTTCCTAAATTTATACTATTAAATGGGAGTTGATTTTCGACTACAGAAAAATTCATCATTCTTACTAAATCCATGTGTTTCAAAAGCTGCGGTTTCAGAAAATTGCGTAATATATCGCATAAAAGTTCTGCCGCAGTCTTTTGAAGCAAATGAATTCTTGTCTCTTGAGTTTGAAAGAAAATGCTAAATTTATAAAAAAACTCAAGAGCGTAATTTAGAAAATAAAGATATGCTTTGGCCTCTGGATTTTGTCCTATCCCAACATCCCATCCTTTGGAAATGTAAACAATTATATCATTTTTCCATTTTTATGGCTCGTGTGTATATTAATAAAAATTAATGCATTCACGAGTTAGTTTTTCATTATATTGTAATTTCATTACATTAATAAAAACATTTTAATATATGGCATGTGATAATGTTACAAAGAAATAACAATTTTTTACATTTCCCTCCTGATGGAAGTGACCACCACCTTCCCGTGGTTTCCATTGAACGGTAGCGTGCACGTTATTGTTTTACCTATCGTTACAATTATTTTGTTATGTAAAGTTAAGTCAAATATATAACATTTGATTGTGTGTAACAATTTGATACGGTTATTAAAAAACATAGTGGGAAAAGTCAGTAGTAATCTATTTCTGTAGCGTGCACGGTACTGGCTAAGAGTTGTTTTTTCATTTTAATTAACCCTTAATTAACCCTTTACGAGTAAGACTGCTATGAACAACATTATTCTAAAATATTTGTGGAATACGTTTTTTATGTGGTTTAGGTAGGTATGCAAGGCATAAGATTTCGTTTAATTTTTCCTGTCTAGGAAAGATAGGAGAAAAGTATATTTGATCTTAATCCTTCTTAAGATTTATATAAATCGCTTTAAAAATTTGTTACAAATGATGTATATGTATCGAAATAATTATAAAACTACAGACGTATAATCATCATTATATGGGAACTGATCACGCTTAAAATATAATGAGACCTTAAAACGAGAACATAAAACTTAAATGTTAAGTTTCATTGAAATTCATTCAGCCGTTTAGACGCAATCATGTCAATAGCATAGGAACAAAAAAAAAAATATGTTTTTTTGTAGTAGTCACAATATGATGAGGGGGTCCTAAAACGTGTATTTCCGCTCAAAAAAAATTTCGAAATTTTTTTTCCATTATGATACTTTATAAATTTCCTTATACCTTACATAGGTCGGAAAGTAAAAATGCTGGGACAGTCGAGGCTTGGAATCGTATGCCGATTATCGCGAGGTCGTATTTCAGCTGTTTCTCTTTTACAAGAGCAAGAAGGAAAGGCTCACACTAGCGTTCTTTATCGATTTGCCGAAGTTGTGCGAAGTGCCGAGCTCACGTACACGTGGCTCGTGCGGTAGTGTATGCCTGCTATGCCCACCATTCCGTTAGACGCTAAGGAAGTTCGTCGTCACTGTTGTCGATTTCGATGCACTCAATTATGCCAGATCTGGCCACACTGGACTGAAATGTAACAGCGTAGCGTCGTAGAGTGTGGTTGCGTTTTGTTTGGGACCGGTGTGTTGTTGGACTATGGCTGTGCACATGGTCCGAGTTGTTACATTCATACACTCTCGGACAAAGTGATGGCACACGCGTACTATCTTTATTTTCTTGTGTTAGAGTTATGTTAGCGTGAACATTTTTAGTGATACGTAAAACGTATCTTCCACAAATATGTAGACATAATATAGATTGATGTTACTTCAATGAGGTTTCTTAGGAGAGGAAGACATAATCCGACACAGACAAAATGATAGCACACTTTGAAGATAAAGATATATATTTCATATAACACAGGTATACATACTTTATATAACAATATATATACTAAACTATATTTTTCTAATAGTGTACAACCTCCTTTATTTTCTGTGACTTCCACCATCCTTTTAGATAAAGAATTATAACTGTTTAATTTTTGTTAGGACTAAATTTTCCCATTTAGTTATAATGTTACTTTTGAATTCATTTATATTTGAAAATTGTCGGTCTTCGATATACATTGAAAAGAAGAGTGAAAACATTCTTTAACAATTTTGGCAGTATGTATGTACTGCAGCATTATCTTGTTGAAATATGTATGGTTGTAACAGCAATGTGTTCTGCATATGTATAAATTTAGTTCTTTATTACTCGAAAGTAACGGATGCTATTCATTGTGCCCCGAACAAACTTAATGTCTGTTTTTCTCTTATATCCGACACCAGCCCAGACCATTACTCTTCTCATTTGTAAAGATTACTCGTTTCCAAGTCTCTTTCCAAAGTGCATGTTCCTTTGCAAATACCAAACGTGCCTCCTTATGTCTTACATTTAATGCTGGTTTTGTCATTATTCTACTTTAGTTTATAATGTTGCTAGTCTGGAGTACACAACGAACATACAGTATATTTGTTTTCACTCCAGCTTTCTTAGCGATCTTCCTCATAGTAGCACAAGAATTGGAAACAGCATGTATTATTGCTCATGTATCGCGTTCAGATAATGCTGCTGGTTTTCCTGTACTTTTATTCTTTCCGGTTGCACTTGTATCTTTTAGTAAATTATATATAACTTTTCTACTGCGACTAACATATTTTGCAATTTGAGTAATTGACGGCCTTTGTTTTCTCAGAGCTAAAATTGTACTAATTTCATTTTCACTAAAACTTCACTAGACTTTTTGCCACGACCCATTATGAAAATAGCAATGTGATAAAATTCTAGACACCAATTGAACATAATAACTCAATGCAAGTTCATAAAACACTGAAGAAATTGTAAATACTGTTCCAGTGTGCTATTATTTAGTCTGCGTCAGATTATGTGTTTCTCTTTCAACTAAGAGAATCTATTGAAGTAAGGTCAGTCTATGTTATGTTTACATGTTCGCAGAAGGCATGTTATACATATAACTCAGAGTTTCCACGCTAGCATAATCCTAACACGAGAAATTAAATATATTTTGTCTGGGAGTGTATGCTGTGTAAAGAATAAATAGTTTATGGATTTTCGTGGTGTCTACATATTATTCAAATTCACTATCTCGTCTTAACGTATAATCTGATAGTTATTCTATATAATAATAATTATATTTCTCTTCATTTACCAGGGAGATGTCGTGAAGACGAAGAACACGGATATTCTTCCCTTTCCACTTATTTTCATGGGCACCCTAGTCTCTTTCCAATGGTTATTGTACGGCGTTATAATTAATAATGGTTTCGTTATCGTAAGTAAACACATGATTATTATGCGCGTTAACACATTGCCTACGTCATTTTACAGTATTCGCTTGTTATAAGTTGTCATTCCCGTTTCGTTATGAGTAGTCTGATTAACCCCTAACCTGCTTTCACAGTCTATTAACGAGTCAATTTGCTCGAAGGCCATTATACCGTTTTGCGTACTAAGAAACTACCAATTAGCCCAATGTGTTCAAACACTTTACTTGTTCCCATTTAACAGATTCTCCAATAAGGGCAATAGAACTTTAAATTGAAATAAAATGGTAACTACAAAAGATAATTTTGTGCTCATTAATTTATTTTGATATACATTCGATGACATTATATATGAAATACAGTATTTAAATGACCACCACGGGTTATCTGGAATAGTGATATTTCAATTTACTTTTATGTTATAAACTTAAGAAAATAAGTAGAAAATAAAATTACTTTTTCTTGTGATCTAATCTGAAACAGATATTACAGCATAGAAACTCATCTTTGTTAAATAACAATTTTAGGTCTTGAAAATTATTTGCAATAATTACAGATGCAATTTTCATTCAAAAGTTTCAGAACGCTGTAGGGTTTTTCCTTTCTGCGGTGCAGCTGTCGTTGTTCGCAATATTTCCGTCAAAATCGAAAGCGAACCCGGCCAGTCAGAAGAAGACGAAGTAACGGAAAAGAAAGTGTAGATTTGTTAACAAACTATCATACCGTCAGTTATTAAAATGTTCCTACATTATGTACGTAACCTAGCATAGGTACTGGTGATTACGAATGTTACAAATACGTATTTAGGTGTAATTTAGATATACGACCATCTCGTGATAGATAGTTAAATTCGCCTTATTCATGCGTTTGAATTGTTAAAATAAAAATATAACATTCCATTACAAAAAAGCATGAAATAACCTTTATATTACCTTGAAAAATTGATGACATTTATCGTGGGACGGCCTGTATATAGGATGTTTGTATAAATACATATATTTCGGAAATTACGTTCGATTTTGTCAAAAACTACTTTTAGGAAGTTAAAAACTTCGAGAGGAACGCTTGAATGTTTAAGGACATCGGTGAAGAACCTTTTGATATTGGAAAACTTCGTGAAAATCAAGGGCTGAAAGCGTCTTATAACGAAAATGGGTCGCGAAAAAAAATTTGAATAAAAAAATTTGTAAATAATTTAAACATCTTTTAATCATCGAAGCTTAACAACTGTAGGGGTATATTTTTCTTGTATCGCTTTAGCCTGTCACTCGGACGACGAAATTTTCTTTTTTTTCAGGAGGCTATATCTAAAAAGAATTTGGAAAATGCTGATTTATATGATATTTCTCAAGACGTTCGAAACATATTTTTTCCCCGCATTATTATCAAATGGATTTGGCGAAACTTAAGCAGTACAATTATGAATTGAATTCCTAACATAATTAAAGTTTTGCATAATAATTAAATGATAGCATTGAACAGCTCTATCGCTGTTCCAGGACGAAGGACACTGAGTAGAAACGCGAAGGTCATTTCAAGGTCATTTACAGTTTATACACGTGGCACATGATACATTTTCCCCACAGGTCGATAGAGCGGAACGACATTACTTTCAACTACATTAACGTATTGTGCAATCCTAATCGCCGACTACATTTCTTTCGATGAGATTAATTTTTAGACGATCACGCGATTTTTATCTACATAAAATACCCAATGAGGTTTATAATATCATATCTTATTTATTAGAAAAATAATATAAACATTTTGGAATAAAAACACTAACAAAAGCAAAAACATGTAAAGTACGTAGTTTATAAGTAACTAAAATCGTACATATTTACTCTTTAGCGACCTATAGGATATTTTTGATGAATTTATTCAATTTTTTAGTAAGAGAGATAGATCTTTGAATCGAAATAAAATGAAAACTACAAAAGATAATTTGGCGCTTGTTTTATTTTTATACATGTATGTTCAATAACATTATACATGACAATACAGTATTTGATACCCAATTTTCGATAATTCTAGCACATAAATCAAGCTGCGTCTCACCAATAATATGAACAATGTTTATTTTGATATTGTCAACAATTTGTTGACATTTTTTAAGGTTAGCTTTTAGATTTACCGACAAAACCGGTAAACCGATTTACCGATATTACTAATAATTTTGTTCAGTAACTGTATCAACATAGAAGACCCTATTGTTTAAAAATTCGTTATGTAAATTGATTAATAAGTTTAATAATACGACAACAGTTTGTTGACATTTTTAAAGGTTAGTTGTTAGATTTACCGACAAAACCGGTAAACCGATTTACCGATATTACTAATAATTTTGTTCAATAACTGTATCAACATAGAAGACCCTATTGTTTAAAAATTCATTATGTAAATTGATTAATAAGTCTAATAATACGACCAAGATATCTTTGAATGATTGACGTAGTCGTACGTGGAGCGTTGAAATCGGCACTGGCACAATCAAGAATAACCAAACCGATTACCATTTTACTTTCTACGGGGCAGCGTTACGCTGCATGCAAATGTAATCCTCCTGGCGATTTGCTTACGCTTCGTCGCGATTTACGTCTGTTAAAGCTCGTTGGTAGTCGGTCTTGGTATATCGGCTTATTATATGAGCGGCGTACATCATCGCTTGACTTTCCGATCGAGTTTGCTGGCTAATAGCAGGAAACAGTGACCTTCTACGTAGACAGTGGTGTCTTGTATCGTGGCCAGTAAACGTATCCGATTCTGTCGACGGACACCGATAGTCCATGGCCTCTCCTCGATCGTTTTGTCACGCGAATAGCTTGGCACCGACCAATTCGCGACACCGGTAAAAGAAAAAAAAAAAAGATACGAAAATTAAACGTTTTGTGCACGATCTCCGAAACGATTCGATTTCTAACGATGACTAATTATCGTTTGCTATACGCGAACTCGTCGAGCGTTACCGTACGCGCAGAATTGGGATGATCGTCGTAGAATTCGTTCGTTGAAACACTTTTGACGAAAGCTTTTTCGACTCTCAACGAGCAATAGGAGATGCCTGTCTCGCGGTGGTTCGAGCAAACAATGTAACTATTCATTTCTAGTGCCTCGGATTAATGCAATTTCTTCAGGAACTTCGATATTCTAGTCGCTGGAAGAAGAAATCCGGTGTGGCGTGGGATGAGGTAAGTGCGCTATCTTTAATTAATTAACGAAACGGCGGAGTTCGCCGTTGGTTTTGCTTTTCAGTGGTAAGATTCGATAGCAATTTAATTAACTTCGTACGTCGGTGTTATCGTTATTATATAATTTTGTACCTATATTCTTTAGTTTTCAAGTTGTTAATGATTAGACATAAATAAATTATTTTCCTTCTCTGACCTTCAGTGGCCTTGAATCACGAGTCGCTAATATTAGATAAATATTAGACCATCCTACGAATTATTGTTAGTAGGAAGAAACAAAATTTGTCGTTCGAGGGGATTTTTGAAATTTTGAACGTTCCATCTTCGACAAACATTAATCATTTAAGAAAAGTAGGGCTTGTGTGAAAGCTTGAGGTTTCTAACTTTAGTTTACAAGTCTCAAAGGTTATAGACTAAATCCTCTGAAGAAGGTATTGCTATCTAAAATGTCATTTTTTCAACCTTCTTTGTAATTTTTTTTTGAATGGTAAGTAGGCTGTTTTGTACTGAAATTTCACAGATATATTTATTCATCTTGTTGAGCCGTTCATAATTTTGCGGCAATAAGCACGCAGCCAAGTAGCGACACCTATAATAAGGTTGAAGATTGTGCGGGGATTCCCGTATCTTTTGTTCGAGTCGAACCGCATGGTCGGCATTACTGAAAATTTATATTAAAGTATGTAATATGTAAAGAATAATTAAAGTGGTTGTGTTTAACATTTTAATATTGTCTATATATATATTTATTTAATCAGTTCCTATGCAAGGGGATCTGATATTTTTCAACACATCTTATAAGCATGTACAATATTTATTTCATTAAAAGATATTAAAAATTGTGGGAGTTATAACTTCTCGTTTAATGGCTCTTCTGAAAAAGGTGCTCTACTGGCTTCCACGATTCCATTATGTTTATTAGGAAGGGTGTCGTTATAGCAGGAATTAGGGAAAAGTCAAAATCTCGATAAATAAAGGTATGGCGGTACTTCAAGTTTCGAATTTTTATTTTTTAACCTCTCTTTTGTCCTTAGCATATTGAAAAAAATAGTAGTATTTAATGTTTTTTAATTTGAAGTCAATCGGTTTGCTAGATTTTGAAATATTATGGAAGTCAGTTTAAAAAAAACGCATTTAAACAAAAAGTTATAACTCCCACAATTTCTAATATTTTTCTTTTATTAATATTAAATTACATTTACAACTAGCTTCATTGAGCTAACCAGCAAATTTGATGAACTAAAAACATGGCTTGCATGCGGTAAACGCTCCGTAGCGTTGCCGCTTTCATTACATGTGATGTTCCTTCTTTTACGTAATTCTGCAAATTGGTCCTTTTGTTCCTTTTCAGTCTTCTGTATTGTGGTGCATGATTTAGATGCTTGACGTTATCGTTGGGCTGATTTAATATTCGTTTCCTGTGTGCTGTAGCAAATTTTTCTATCTGTTGTTTGATATTATGTATGCCCAAATCTTTATGTAAAGAATCTGAGGTGATGTACTATGTGGCAGTAATAATAGTTCTCAGTGCTTGTTCTGGAACTTTTGGATGATATCTATGGAAAATATACTACACATACTTATATATATTATACATATTATATCTGCAAAATCTCAATACAAAACAGCCTACCTATCATTGAAAAAAAATCACAAAAAAGGTCGAAAAAATGACAATCTAGACAGCAATACCCCCTCAAGTTGTAGTACATAACTACATATTTTATGACATAATCGTCACTTTCCGTAAAAAATTCGATTTCTCGTCGCAGTCAGAGCGATCAGAGCTCGCCTGGACTTACGAACGAACAGAAAATGGAGTCGTATCGTACAATTGGCAAGCTTTTCGTTCCAGAAAGCTCGTATGCAGGATTTGATATCCGGTGGCGCGGTATGAAATCGAAACGTCGATTTTCCACGGATAGTAACGTCGTGGACGAAGAAAAGGATTCCAATTAACGTTGAAACCTATCCGAGTAACAAGTTCGATCGGGGTAAGTCGCGTATACGTCGCGCATCCATGATATTCGTGTCTGCGCACAGTTTCCTTCGGGATTGATCCCGAGTATGCGCCCCAGCTGGCTATTTGTATGTTCACACACAGGAAAATAGTTGCTTAACGTGAAAGTGCTTCTGTTGTGTGGAGGTGGACTTGTTCCAACACCTGCTGCATCCCTTGAACCTCTTGTCACGTGGATCAGCCGACGGTTCGTATAACAGAATACCGACGAGATGAACCGCGACGAGATACCCGATCGTAATCACCTATCGACGGCGCAAATATATTTTTCGTCTCACGATATATGTGTATACATATACAGGGTGGTCCACCTAAACATTGCCATCTAAATATCTCCTTTACTCGTTATGCTATAACAAGTAATTCCTACGCAAGTTATACGACAACGAAATACTGATACAGCGTAAACAATTTTTTGGGTCCAAGGTTATTTTCTTCGCAATTTCTAAGGTCGTCAATGTTTTTTTTTTATTGCACAAAAGCTTAAATTTTTCTTTTTGATATGGTGGCATGTCCTTGAAATAACCTTCAATTGAGAGTAAAGGAAATATTTAGGTGGACCATCCTGTATATTTCACCTTGTAAACAAGTTTAGGAATGGCTTGGAACAAAAATTTGACGAATACGATGCATAGAAACGAATAAAATTACATTTTTTTTGCTTATTGTTTATTGTTATATTTTATAAATATATCTTTGGACAAACTTTCGAAAAAGACATACTTAAGATTTTTTTTTATACTCTGGATTCTTACGTATTTTGACGTGCTAATTATGAGTGTGATAGTGAAAATTGGCGCAAATTTTATTTTCATTGCGGAAACCATGAAAAACCATAAAAATCATAGTTTTTTTATTTACTTCCGTAAATAATGGGAATTTTGAAAAATATTTCAGATAAAGATTGTAGACCTCATCAGAATACACATATTATGTTGTATTCATTTTTGTCATAAAGACAATAATTTTTGAGAAAAACGATATTAAATGTTCAAAAGTTCATATAACTCATCCATCACAAATCAAGTTTTACTGTTAATTTCATTAGTTAATACTAGAAAGAGATACAGAAAAGCTGCTTTCTCGCCCACGTGTTTTCTGTATCATTGGATTTTTAACTTTCCATGCGTAGCGAGATCCTACCCTCTGCGGAAAGCTTCATCCACAAAAGGAATAATCCAGACCTAAACCTAAACCTACAATTAAACATTAAATTAAACGACTGTTCGTTATAAAAGAAATGAAACAACCTCATATAAACTAAAAAATGAACCTGTTTGTTCTAAAAAACGAAAACAAAGCGGATAGAACAATATCATGAAAACAAAAAAATAGTTTGCAATAAAAAAAAAAAGTTAAAGTGAAATTACCGCACGAAAACTAAAAAATAAAGGTAATCGTTTCCAAAAAATAAAAAATTTTAAGCTCTGCACAGTGTAAAGAACAGTGCAATCGAGGGTGGCTCCGTATAAGTGAATAATTACCTATCATTTTTTTCAGAAAGTATTATTCTTATGACAAAAATCGATAGGACATAAAATGTGTATTTTGATGAGGTGTACAACTTTTATCTAAAGTATTTTTCAAAATTCTCATTATTCACGGAAGTAAATAAAAAAACTAGGATTTTTATGGTTTTCTCATGGTTTCCGCTATGAAAATAAAATTTGCGCCAATTTTCACTATCACACTCATAATCAGCACGTCAAAATACGTAAGAATCGAGAGTATAAAAAAAATCGGAAGTATATTCTTTTCGGAAGTTTATCCAATATACCTTTTCTAGGTTGCGTAGGACACCCTGTATAAATGTATTAAGGACTAATATATAGCTGTCCAAGTAGGGTTTGAATTATTAATTCTTAGGTGACGAGGGTATGCCTTTATGGAGGAAAATAATCCTTTTCATTTTCGTAGTCGTGACTATGGAAATTCGGGAAAGATCTTTCCGAGTAGGCATTACGGTGAATGGTATAAATGTAATAAGGGTACAGTTTTGTAGGGTTTGAATTATTAATTCTATCGTGATAAGGAGATGCTTTTAGAGAAGAACAGAATATTTTTCGTTTTCACAATTATGACGATGCAAATTTAGGAACGAAGCGTTAGCAAGGGTTACATAATTGAAGAATCCTTGTTAACCCATTTGCACCATTAAGCGGAATAATTTGTACATAATAACTGTTGTTTATCGTCAAAAGTGGAATATTCAAAAACTATAAAAAATTATTGAACAATATATAAAAAATGTTAAAATTATATTTAATAAATATTTTAAAAACGAAAAGTCTAGAGAGATTTCATCTACCAATAGTTCACTGGTTGCCATTTAAACAATGTACTTTATGTAAATCGATAACAGTTAAAAGAGAAACTGTTTTCAGATGTGACATTTAAGATGATCCATTACGTCTCGATCATTTTAAAGACTATCATACTGATTAAAAAATTTTAATATCTATTTTACGTTTATTTACCGTATAGCTATGCAAAAAAAAAAATATTCATGTTTGAACATCATATAAAATGGTTCTATTTTGAAATATGTATAATTTTTTAAAGACTTTTAGTCAAGTATCTCTGATTTATAAAGCAAGTTATTTAGAGTGAAGATGCAAAGTGTCAAAGTTGAAACATTTTTTCTCCATAAAAAAATGTCATATGTTGCGATAGAAATAAATCGGTATGTAATCTCAGTTTAATTTATGTCTACATTAGTTTCCGAAGGTTACACAATTTTTAGCGAACCACAATTATTGCCATTTCTATTTTGTTTAGTGAACATGTCACATTGTTATATTGTTTTGTAATTATTTAAAGCAACAAGATAGATATTACGTTCTGCCATCTGCCGGAGGCTATTATTACGTATCACAGATACATAATAACTCTATTATAATAACAATTGTGACGATCTACGGATTATAGGAAATTTTTAAACAATCGAGTATTTTGAGACTCAAATTATAGATTATTCATA